CGTATATATCACAAGTGAGTTATGCTTGTATATATATGTATATTATACGTTTTTACAATATATACTTGTACGTAGAGAGAGAGTGTGTGTGTGGATTGGTAAAAATGTGCCCAAAGTGTGTAAATGTGTTAGGTTTGTTATGGATTTGAAAATAGATGAATTGAGAATCTAAAGAATCAAAATGAGGCATCTATTACTTCTAAAGCATAAACCGTAGCAATAGTAACAATGTATGCTTATATTAACATTGCTTTGAATCTTCAATGGCTATACCAAGCAGCCATTAAGGGGGTGTGTTGGTTCTGACACAAGTTTTGAGGAACTTTGATGAGCAATTAAAAATTAAATTTTTAGTAGCTTTTGATATCCACTTTCTAAAGCTCGATTGAGCTAATTGATCTTTCATTTAGTGTTCATTTGATTGTTAAGATGAAATTTGGGTGAAAAGAAAATAAATTCTAGGGAATTGTTAATTTTTGTGTCTGATTGTTATAATTTGTCACGTGAAAAATGTTTAAATAAAAGTATTTTTTAGGGTTCGTTTAGTTTTATTTTACATGAAAATTGTCAATTAAAGGGATGAAATTTATTAGTATTGGGGATAGAATTTGTTTCCATTGTAAAAAAAAAATTAAGAAAATCATCTATCTTTTGGTGTTCGTTTGACTTTATTTTACATGAAAATTGTCAATTAGAGAGAATTTTTTTTTTACAATAATTTTTAGAATTTGTTTCCATTGAAAAAAAAATAAATAGTGGGTTGAAAAATCAAGAAAATACCAATTCCCAATACAACCAAGAAAATAGAAAAATAATGTTGTTTGTACCCTTGCCGTTACCTACTGGATGACACTATGACGTGGAAAGGGAGCATATTTTGAATTTTCAAAAAATAACAATACTTGTCATATTCATTGTTGGGTCGGGTTTAGGGTTTAAAGTAATGAAGCAGGCAACAATACCCACTGATAAGAAAAGACCGGGTAATTCTCGATTTCTCTTTCTCTGGCCACGATTCTTGAAACCTACCGCCTTTTTTTTAAGCTGTCGTCTCCGGCTTGAAGGCAAAGAGCTATTCCAACTTCAAGCTGCTGCCGTCTTCATAGATTCGACGGTGTAAAAAAGAGCAATGCATCCTAAAAAAGAGCAAATAATAGCTGTCATTTTGACGTCTTCGACCCATCCCGTATTCCATCGGCCGAGAAGGAGCTGTAACGTCGTTGCCATGTGAGTTACATCGCTGGCCCAAAAGATAATGTGGATTGGAAGAGATGAGCAAGAAAGGTGTGGTTTTGTTAGTCATAAACACTTTGTTTGTACCCAATACAATAATTATGGCTTTTTTAAATATAAAATTTTGATGTGTTTGTTGATTTTGGTTAGCTTTCATTGTTTTTCTTAAGCTGTTGTTAATTTTCTTAAAATTGCAACTCACCTGTGTTCACAAGAAATGTAAACTTAAATTTAATTTTTGATTATGGTTTCTTGGATTTTTACTATTGTTACAAGGTTCTACTTGATAATTGATGAGGTATTTTTCTTTTTATTTGCAAAAGTTTAGTTATGTGAAAAGGCCAGTAAATTTATAGAGTAATGAATAAATTTGAGGTAATTTAGACGCTTTGATAAATAAATTTGCATTTAATTGATGACTTCGAATAATGGCTTAATAGTAATTCAAGGGCGTTTTGGTATTAAAGTAGATGTTTGATATGTGAAAAAGCTATGATAGGATTAGTGCTATTGATATGGATTTTAGCTCACTTAATTTCAATAAATGAGGTAATTTGTTTGAAGTAGTTTTTTAATTATGCACAAAAAGATGTTTCCCCTGCAACTTGCTTGTACAGTTCTCCTCTCTTCAGAATTCATAAATGTAGGCGAAATTTAACGGCTAATTGATAAATGGAAGAGATGAGCAGGAAATGTGTGGTTTATTCCATCCCAAATTTTCCTTTCTTGCTATTAATGTGTACTCCACCCCATATTATCCTGTTTATGCTAGTAAATATTTTATCAGTCATAATGTGTTCGTATTATTTTCGAACATGTATTTGCCCTGAAAAAAAAATAGTTATGTGAATTAGTTTTAACATTCTTTAATTGGTTTTTTATTACAGTGAATGAAAGTTCGAAAGAGGTGGATGAACATATTTCGTTACAATCCGATAATGAGTATATTGTGAACAGTGTCAACTTGGTGGAGGATAGAGTAGTAGGAGTAGATGGAGTGGATGATGAGATATTAGGAGTTGATGGAGTGGATGATGGGATTGTGGGAGTAGATGGTGCAACAGTGCCCAAGGTTGGTATGAAGTTCAACGACGAAAAAGATATATATGATTTTTACAAAAGATATGTGTACAACGTAGGCTTCCCAGTTGGAAAAAGGAATTCGCAAAAGGATGATTATGGAGTTGTGAAGTATGTTGTGTTCACATGTAGAAATAGTAATGCAACTGGTTCTTTGAAGCCGCACGCTACCATTCAGACGGGTTGCAAAGCAAGAATTACTGCTTCTTTAGATGCATGTGGAATATGGAAAATAAACACAGTCAATCTCAATCACAATCATAAAACAAGTCCTTCCAAGTCAAAGTTGTATCGTTGCAACCGAGAGTTGAGTTCCCATGTCAAACGACGACTTGAAGTGAATGATATGATAGGGATTCCGCTGCATAAAAGTTACCATGCTGCAGTTGTAAAAGCGGGTAGGTATGAGAACTTGACTTGCATAGAAAAGGATCGTCGAAACTATGTTGAACAAGTTAGGCGGTTACGACTTGGAGACGGAGATGCCGCAGCAATACAAACCTACTTTTCGAAAATGCAAGGAAGGTGTTCAGGTTTTTACTTTACTATGGATTTAAATGATGAGTCGTGCTTGAGGAATATTTTTGGACTAATAATAGGAGTAGGCAAGCATATAAGGAGTTCGACGATGTTGTAACATTTGATACCACGTACCTAACTAACAAGTACGACATGTCATTCGCACCTTTTGTTGGGATTAATCATCACGGAATGCTACTTGATTGTGGTTTGGTGTCCAATGAAAGTACGAAAACATTTGTGTGGTTGTTCAGGACTTGGCTTCAGTGCATGCATGGCCAAGCTCCTAAGAGAATTACCACCGATCAAGATAAGGCCATACAAAACGCAATTCAGATCGTTTTTCCGAACACTCGGCATAGGTGGTGTTTGTGGCATATATTGAAGATGTTGCCAGAGAAGTATGGATACCACACCAATAAGGGTGTGATTTTCTCTACTCTACATGTGTTGGTGTATGATTCTCAAATCGGTGAAGAGTTCGAAGAGGGTTGGGAAGCGATGATCAATAACTTTAACCTGCATGATGATGACTGGTTATCTAGATTATACGCGAACAGAGGTCGTTGGGTACCTTGTTATTTGAAAAACACATTCTGGCCTGGAATGTCGACGACTCAGGGCCATGAGAGCATGAATGCGTTTTTCGATGGATACGTACATTCGAAGACATCGCTCAAGCAATTTGTCCAATAATATAAGCGAGCATTGAGTAATAAGGTGGAGAAGGAGTTTCAAGCGGATTTCAAGTCCTTCTCGCAAATGGTACCATGTGCTACGAAGTATGGATAGAGAACCAGTTTCAACTAGTTTATACGATCTCAAAATCTAGGGAAGTACAAGAGGAATTTGTTGGGAAGGTTTACTGCGAGGTTTCTTCGTCGGAGGGCTGCTTGGGGACTACATAGGAAGTATGGAAGGATGTCATACGTGACGACTGGGTTGACAAGAAGAAGTCCTGTGTCACATTTCAGAAAGAGAATTGTGAAGTTGTATGCAGCTGCCACTTCTTTGAGTTTCGGGGAATAATTTGCAGACGTGCAATCACTGTATTGCTCTGTAACAACGTGAAGTCATTGCCTAACACCTACGTATTACGGAGGTGGAGGAAAGACGTCGTCAGAGCTCACAGAAGGGTTGCAGTTAACTATGATGGTTTAAGTAGCACCCCGACACAATTAAGATATGACAAGATGTGTCAATCATTTGCTAGGCTTGTGAACATAACTGCAGATGATGAGAATGAAGTCCGATCGATACTGGAGTAGATAGAAACCAAAGAACTATCAGTTGGGATGATGAGGTCGAGTCGTGGAAGTAATGCCATGTCCCAGTACACGGAGCGAATAGCTTCGGAGAGTGGAGCATCACAGCATTATGGTAAAGGTAGCATACATGATCCAATATGCTCAAAGAGAAAAGGCTCACCCAGGAAACTGCGAAGGAAAAGCGATTTGGAATCGAGTTCTACTAAGACAAAGGTATGCGTCAAACATTTTGTGTAGTACGAAAGTGCGTAATACTATTAATAATGCCCCCATTTAATTTGTTGTTTCGCAGGCAAATTTGAGTTCGGCCAAGGAAAGGAGATCGAAGGCACACCTAGATCAAATGGGAGACGGTGCACCAATAATTCAGTCGCACCATCAAGCTCAGTACTACATGCCTCCACCGATGTCATATTCACAAATCTTACTGGTAGATACAATTAAATGTAAAACACTTTCATTAGCACATGTGCTCTTACATTTTTGTTTGATGTAGGGTGGTGAGAACTATCACGAGCTTACACAACACATACAGTCGCCCAATGTCATTTCTCCCGCTTCAGCAAGTGTTACATGGAATAGTCAAGGTACTGACATGCTTAAACATGCGTCGTTCAAATTCCTTATTTTCTCTTGTTTGTGTAGTAACTTGTACATTTTGCACTAGGGAACGCAATGCCGTATTACTATCCGAATGTGCCTGATGAACACGGCGCAAGTTTCTGACATTGGATGAAGAGAACTACTGGATCCGCGCATCTAGCGATGTAATAGGTTATGAGTGGTCGAAATTATTGAGTTGTATGATCTTCAACTTATTGGTGCAATGTTTAAGTGTTTTAAATAAAAAAATGTAGTGTTTATGAAATTGATGTGATACTTTAATCTTATGGAATGTCATACTTTCATATTCTTGCAACCTTGGTTGTGGAAAAATGCTTGTAATTGGGGCTGAAATTAATAAGCAGCAGAAATTGTACTTATTAATGTGTTCTGGATTAAAATATTGCATTCAGGGATGTTTCTGTGAATTCTGGATTAAAATAACTCTTTACACTAGCACTATCCCTCCAATTACAAGCATTTAATAGTTTGCCTTCTCAGCATTGAAAAGTAAAACTTTATAGTAGCAACAAAAAAAGTATGTTGCAAACACAGTGCAAATTAGACAATTCCATAGAATACAATGACTTGTTCGTTACAATGACTTGTTCAATTTCGAAAGGTGCAAGTAACAATATATTACACAACATCCCAACAAAACACAAATCCTAATCAAGTCAGCCCCTTTCCTTTCTTATCCGCTTCCGCACTTCCGTTGCCTTTTCGTATCGTCACGTTTACAGAAATTTCAATGTCTTGTTCTTCCACTAGGCGGCAAAGGGATTGGAACGTGTGAGTTATTTGTTGAACTTCTTCAAGTGCTGATGAGTTGTTCGAGTTAATGGTAACAGTACTAGACTCGCCACTTGATTCTCCTACTTCGACCCATTCCCAGTAGGTACAGCGAGCACTGTAGCAATCGAACAACCTTCCCTTGTTCTTCGTCTGCCTTACAACCTCAAAGCACTTCATGAAGCCATGTCTACACACGAGACATCGCCGTTTGTTAGGGCAATCAGCAAACAAGTGCCCCTTTTCTCTACAGCTGTGGCAGATTCCAAAATTCTTTCCTATCATTCTAACATACGAACAACCAACATATTTCCAATCAATGCGCGATATACACAGGACATTGTCAAATTACAGAACTACAAATGTGTTGGTGTTTCTTTCATGTCATTCTGACATTGTCAATTTAGGGGTAGGACTGAGCAAATAAAATGTTGGTTGTGGTGGGAAGACACAGTTCAAACTTGAAATATGTTGGGGGCATAAATCTGGTTTTACAAGTTTAGTTGAATAGCAATATGCTGTATAAAGTAGAACTATTACTCCTTTTTACTGCACATCTGGTTGTAAATTAACTTGTTTGTCAAATTCTGATTTCAAACCATTTATTTCTTTAATTCTCCTTCTCAACTCTATTTTTGCCATGTCCATGACATCATTATTGTACTGTAGCCATCAGTGTTTATTAGGGTGCCCATGTGATACATGCTTAATATGCTGGTAATTTTAGAGGAATGCATGATTAAATTTAGATAAGTGAATAACAAAGAAGATAACTTCTCTGGCTTTTTGCTGAAGATCCAAACTAGATTTAATTTGTTCTCTTTTGCCACACACAAACAAGCACATAAAGAGTAGTAGCAAGGTTCCCAGAGTTGTGTACAATCAAAGAAGATCAATTCTTGGGCTCTTTGCTGAAGATCTAAACTCGATTTAATTTTTTCTCTTTTGCCCCATATCAAACAAGCACATAAATAGTAGTTGCCAGGGTTCCCAGAATTGTGTACACTCAAGATATGAAAACATGACATTCCATAAGACTAAAACCCATGCAGTGAACATATTCTAATTATATATAAACTGCAAGTTAACAGCTCCTCAGAATAACAAAGAAAATTCATTTCTGAATGTAAAAAATCACTAGTGCAAAAACTAAAGTCTCTGGCATTTGTCTCCATCAATTAAACTAACATACATGTTCTAAGTTGGCCAAATCACCTACTAAGAGATTAACTTTTTTATTGCAAAGCAAACAACATTAGATTTCCTTAACGAAAACATTATACATCCAAAATATAAGTGTCAATGGGTATGAACACAATCTCTGTAAATAGTACCTGAACTATTAATCTTCTTGGTTGGGTATGAACACAATCTCTGTAAATAATACCAGAAGAAATGCACATAAATTTCAAATCTTTACAATTCCAATTTGGGTTGAAAAAAAAATTAAATACACACACACCCAAAAAAATTTCTTCTTCCAATTCGAGTGTAAGAACAAATTAAATACACACACAATGATAATTTATCCTTCGTCCAATTAGGGTTGGTCGAAATTTGAAATACATACATATTTATAAATTGTGTTGAAATGGGTCACAACTTTTGCCCCTTTTTCAATTCCTTTCAATTCTCTTCAATTTGCAAGCACAAACCGCTGTAAAATCTTTGAACTATTTTATTATTTGAAATCAGTAAAATCGAGGAAAATGGTTGCCAAATATATCATGCTTACATAATGTGTGCTGCTAGATTCCATCGGAGGCGATGGATGGCGTTAGAGACGATCAATTTGCACACGGTGAAGCTCACGTCTTACGGCTAAAAAAAAAAAAAAAAGGCAACCGCACGCTTAACCTGGGATGGAAAACCTAAACATGGAGACAATTGATAAATTAATCACTGGCTTCTTACTCCGGTTGAGATGGAGTGCTGGACTTTGAACCAATTTTCGCCTTTAAAGGTTTTCTCTGATTTGGGGATAATGGTGCGAGTGAAAATGATGAATGGGTTTATTCAGTAAGTGGGCCGATTTAAGTTTTCTTACGGCTAAAAAAAAAAAAAAAAAGGCAACCGCACGCTTAACCTGGGATGGAAAACCCAAACATGGAGACAATTGATAAATTAATCACTGGCTTCTTACTCCGGCTGAGATGGAGTGCTGGACTTTGAACCAATTTTCGCCTCTAAAGGTTTTCTCTGATTTGGGGATAATGGTGCGAGTGAAAATGATGAATGGGTTTGCTCAGTAAGTGGGCCGATTTAAGTTTTTGACCCAGATAAATCGTTTAAGTTTTGACCCGGCTTCGTTAAAACACAACACGTCACCGTGTAAACTGGCGTGTAAGGCAGCAAGTACGAGTATCACGGTTGAAAATAGAATTTCATGGAAAATAAAACACATCAAACACACAAAATTAGAAAAAATGTGGAATTCGAATTCCATTTTCCATGGAATTCGAACCAATCAAACAGGTCCTTAGAGGTTTAGGTTTAGCATCGCTGTGTAGTTGGTTCAAATTTTGCCATGCGTCATTTTTAGCATCAACAAACTTGATGGTATATTGTTATTTTCTTCTTAATATAACTTTTTTAAAATCAAATTTATATTGGTGTTTGTTATTTAACCTTTTTTTTTTTTAAATCAAAACACCAACATAGTCTTAGTGGTTTTCAGGCGCCTCTAGAAAATGTTGTTGGGGTTTGGATTCTCCAACAATATATATAAAAATGAAGTCCACGGGTACAAAAGAAAGAAGGCATAACCTCGACCTTCCAAGAGTAAAATGATGCAACAAATTGAGAAATGTGAGAGGAATGGAAGTACTATAACAAAAAATAAAAATAAAAATTTAACACTCTCGAATGCTAAGAATTCCATAGCTATCAATTTGTACAAGAGCACGAGGTCGTCATGGGAGGTCAATGGGGCCATACTCCTAGTAATATTGTTGATCCCATCCCTCGGAAGTAAGTGAGTCGGCACCTGGTTCACGTTATGAAAAATGTGAGAGACAATATCACAATCGATAGAAAGATTGTGCACGATCTGTCTAAGAATGATCTATGTTGTCCAAGGACCTCCACCCCTACTGATGCAGTAAATGGTTACAGATGAATCTATCCCCAACCAAATATCGGGTAATCCTAGCCGACGAGCAAGTAATTCTTGTTATATAACTTGAAAACAATATGTTTGGAAAGTGTTTATAAATGATTTAAATGTAAGTAAATAGAAATGAATAGTGGACAAGTAGATTTCTTGAAATGTTGAATAAAAAATAATTTAAGTATTTATAAATAATTTATAAAGAGTAGCTAAACATAAGCTTAACAATTATTGAATAACAAGTATGCAAGTCCTTGACCCCTTCTCAGCATGCTTAATTCCTCGGTCTTCCCATTATTTTCAGTGCTAATCTCCTTTCCGCTACGATATAACCTAAAAGGCCTCTGTTCACACACACACTCTCTCTCTAAAAAAGCCTTAGAACAAGACAACACCATACCTCAAAAACCCACAAGCTTTTCTTTATTTTAAGCTTTATGGGACCTGTCTATCATGTGCTTGTCGGCATAGATCCCTTTTTTTCCTTCTTGTTTTACATTTACCTCTCTCTCTCTCTCTCTCTCTCTCTCCCTCCCTCCCTCCCCAATGTGTGAAATTGAGTGCCTGCAGCTTTTTCTTATATAGGGTTTTGATTGCACCTCTCTTTTGAAAGGTTTTGATTGCTCAATCACAATTCACAAATCCCCAAAACGCAGAGATGGAGAGAAGAAAGTGGGGTGTTTGGAGTGAAGGCTGTTCCAAGATCAACACCAGATAGTTCCATAAGTTTGCATTTTCTTGATTAATGGAATTAATGGTCTCGGACCAGGCTTCATTCCTCACGCTCCAATTTCCATCAATGGATGTACAAGAAACTACCTTCATCAGCTGAATTGGTCTTTTGATCAAATTGTTCGTCCGTTTATCTCGTGTTCAGATCACTAAAAAACCAAGAAAATAGCTGGTAAATTTTGATCTTCTGGTTACACATTAATTATCTGATGGAGACGATAGCTAGGTTAACCAAGTAGCTGGTAAATTATAACTTACTTTATTAGTTAATCTATATTTTTCAAAAATGTTCATTATTTTCAATCTTCAATCAGTATAAACGCCTCGCTAGATCTTACCACTTCACTTACTATCAGCTATTTGGCTGTACTTAATAGCGCCTTTTTTTAGCTATTTGTCTGGGAAACATGTCTCTACATGATGCAGATAAAAACAACTAAAAACTGTTTCTAAGCACAGCCAAAAAAGTAAGTTTGAAGTTTCAATTATAATTAACAATTTCCCTTCAACCTTAATAGATCAGAGATTGAATATTTTTGCTTTTCTGTACTTTGTTTACTAGCCCAGAATATGCATTTCTGACAGTCTTCCCTCTTTTCTCTTTTGAAGTTGGAAATG